CCTTCTTCTGTACTATACAATCACATACAAATCATTGTTCCACTAATAGACTTATTGTTTCAGAAGTGTGAAATTGCTAGAATAGAAGACGGCAACACAGAACTTAGGGCTGAACACCTTGCAACCTCAATATTTGTGAAATTAGGAAAAAAGTAAGAATCACAGAAAATGTTTTAAATGAGCCACTGTCGAAATGAACTTCAAGTAGAAACAATTTCTAATTTAATAAGAATTAGAGATTATCTTAATTCTAGAGGACAATGCTATCATAACACAACATTGATAAAAAGCTCAGGCACAGTTGAAACTACGAGTTATTATTTACTGGATTAGTAATTTTATGGAACTTACTGGCAACTTTGTAAATTTAAAATGTAAATCTTAATATTTTAATAGGCTTGTCCGAGGATGCTAATGAGTTTAGCGAAACGTTGGGCAACAATAGTGGAATAGCTTTGTTTTATTTGCACTAAAGAATGCAAGATCGGACAAACCTATTAAAATATTAAAATTTAAAAAACATAAATACGAACCGATCGAAACCCAAAAATAGATATAAAATGTAAATCTTTATGTTTATATACATTTATTTTCTTACATAGTACATGCATATAAAATCATAATATCTGAGGTAAATAAAATAAGGGAAATATAGTTACAAAGCGGTTCCAGTTGTTTTTTTAGCAACTATTTTACAAGTTCTACACAATAACTTTATACATATTAGAAAAATAACAGTATCAAAATTTGGTACAATTTAGTGATAAAAAGTACAATTTGAATTACATTTTCATACGAAATTGCCAAATGCTATTATCAACACTGGAGTGCAATGGCGTATAGCCGTTCTTCTTATGCAGTTACAGTTGCACGGCTATACTCAATCCCGACTCTTCCGTCCCCGTTCGCGCACTCTGGGCAACGTGAGCAACCCATTTGCGAGATGCGGTAACCAACCCGAGTGGGCCCGAAAAAGAGGGAGCTTCGGTGGGGCCACTCCGACTTATTCAGTTTAAGGGCTCCCGAAATCTGCAGCGTCTGTTCATCAGTGGGTGCGGCTACAAGCGGGCGTCTGTCTTGCAGCAATAGGTTCGTTATATAATCCGGTGTATCCGGTTGAATAGCCACTCATCCCAGTAATGGTTGTGCGCTGGCCTTGGGACCCGCCACGTAAAAATGCCTACCAATGAAAGGAACAAAATGGCCTCGGATGGCCGCCCCCCACACGTTGACGACCCTCGCTCACGAAATAAGAACTATGATTTGCGGATATGTACTTGGAATGTCTGGATCCTTTATAGGGAAGGTGCCCCTATCCAACTGCTAGATGTCTTCGAAAAATATAAGGCTGACATCACTGCAATCCAGGAAATGCGATGGACGGGACACGGCTGCATCAAATATGCAACGTGTGACATCTACTACAGCTACCATGAGACGGCGCTCAAATTTGGTGTGGGATTTGTTGTTGGGCCGAGACTAAGACACCCCGTCTCCAGGTTTACTCCCATCAGTGAACGAATCGCCACGATCCGCATCAAAGCCCAATTTAACAACGTATATAACGGATATAAATGAGCAATGGGAGTCCATCTCCCAATCGCCTTGTGCCGCTGCGGAAGAGGTAGTGGGATACTACCGCCCGCGCAGGAACAACTGGTATGACGAAGAGCGCCGCGCGGCTGCTGCAGAGAAATACGCAGCATACAAAGCCACCCTACAGCCAATAGCCATGCGAGCGATAGTTGAACGATACCGGGAAAGGAGGAGGGAGGAGATACACCTATTCAAAAGAATGAAACGTGAGGCAGAAAAACGTGAATGCGAAGAGCTTGAGATGCTGGCAGACAAGAATGCGGCTCGAAAATTCTATCAGAAAATAAGGCAGCAATCAAATGGTTTCAAGACCGGGACTGGTTCCTGTAGAGATGAGGATGGAAATTTGGTAACAGATGTCCAGAGTACACTTGAGATATGGAGGGAACACTTCTCAACTCTTCTGAATGGCAACACAGGTGGCGCGTTTGAAGAAGAAGAGCCCGAACCAATTTATATGGACGAAACTCACGGCCCTCCACTTGACCAAGACGAGGTGAGAACAGCAATAGGCGGCTTTTAAAGAACAAGGCCGCCGGAGCCGACGGTATTCCCTCAGAGCTGTTCAAATCCGGCGGCGAAGAACTGCTCCGGCGCATATACCAGCTATTAAGCAGAATTTGGTCTGATGAATACATGCCCGAAGATTGGAATCTCAGTGTACTTTGCCCAATCCACAAGAAGAGAGATCCCGCCGTTTGCGCCAATTATCGTGGAATAAGCCTTCTTAATATTGCATACAAGGTCCTGTCGACTATACTGGGTGAAAGACTGAAGCCCTTTACGAACGAACTGATTGTGCCTCATCATTGTGGCTTCAGACCTGACCAGATTTTCACAGTGCCTGAAATTCTGGAAAAGACACTCGATATGGAAATCGACACACACCATCTTTTTATTGACTTGAAAGCTGCTTTTGATAACACGAAGAGAAACTGCCTGTACAATGCCATGTCTAAATTTGGGATCTCCGCAAAAACGCAACGAGGTTTTAGACAAGGCGATTCACTACCATACAATTTTTTCAATCTGATGCTGGAAATCGTTATAAGAGCTGCCAATATGAATAGCAGCGGCACCATATACAGCAAAAGCACGATGCTGCTGGCGTATGCAGATAATATTGACATCGTTGGCTTTACACTCAGGGATGTCAGCGCAGCATTTGGCAACTTAGAAAAAGAAGCTAACGAGGATGTTCTGACGGTGAACGAGGACCAAGACAAAGCACCTCCTGGCAACACATAAAAAGTCTTCGCATATTGGGACACACGTCACTGTTGGCAGTCATAACTTAGAAGTAGTGAAGGACTTTGTTTACATAAGATCCAGCATAAACACCACCAATAATGTCAGTCTGGAGATAAAGCGAAGAATAGCCCTTGCCAACATGTGCTACTTTGGGCTCGGTAGGCAATTGAAAAGCAGAGCCCTCTCTCGACGAACAAAAATCACGCTTTACAAACCTCTCGTCATGCCCGTCCTCTTATATGGCGAAGAAACATGGACGATGTCTAACAAACTTGAGAAGGCTTTTGGGGGCTTTCGAGAAAACTATTCTTCGCAAGATCTATGGCCCCGTTCGCGTGGGCGACGAGTACCGAAGAAGATAGAATAACGAGCTGTACGAGCTTTTTAACGACATGGACATAGTTAAGCGTATAAAAATAATACGATTGCGCTGGCTTGGACATGTTGTACGCATGGATAACGACGCTTCGGGGAAAAGATCCTTCGACTCCGCACCCATGGGTGGACAACGAAGGCAAGGTCGCCCACGAACACAATGGAAGGACCAAGTGCAGAAGGACCTGACCGCACTTAAGATGAACAACTGGCGCAAATCTGCCAAGGAGAGAGGCAACTGGCGAAGTTTTTGTTCTCGGTACAAACCGACAAACGGTTGTAGTGCCAAATAAGAAGAAGAAGAATCATCAACACTGTTAAGTAGATGATACTGAATGGGTGATATTCAATAACAATCATTTTAACTAATTGTTGATCAGTTTCGAACTTTTTTTTATTCAACAGTAGTAGGCCGCGTCACAGAAGTGGCGGTACGTGGCGCAAAAGATTCAAGTGGCGGTGCAGAAGTAGCTGGTGGCGGTATAGAAGTGGCAGTATGCGGCGTTGAAAGTTCAAGTGATGATGTAGAATTTGCAGGTGGCGAAGTGTTGCAGGATACACGTGTAGTTGTTGCAGCAGATTGCGACTCATTGTTATTATTATCCGATTCCTCGGCTGGATGTCTTAATATTATCTGTGATATTTTTTGAAACCGGATGATGAATTGTCAAGCTGTTCATAGATATAAGTCGCACGTGGTCGCTGTGGTGTAGTGGTAAACAGTGCGCGCTTTCACTCCGCAGCGCCTGGGTTCAAGCCCTGGTCAAAGCAACATCGCAAAAAAATTTAGAAAAAAGGTTTTTTTTTAACAGCGCTGGCACCTCGGCAGGCAATGGCAAACCTCCGTGTGTATTTCTGCCATGAAAAACAGCTTCTCATTAAAATACAATCGCCGTTCGGAGTCGGCGTAAAACTGTAGGTCCCTCTTCTTAGTGTGACAACAGCAAGGCGCACGCCATAAATCGGAGAAGAAGCTTAGCCAAACACTAACATATGTGTAAGCGCTAATCAATTATTAATTAAATTATTATTTCATAAAGTGCACGCAATGTTTTCATCGAAAGAGGTCAAAATCCAATGCATACTATAATATCTTTTCAAACACAATATTTGACTGCACTATTTTTATATATTTATTGGTTTCCCTTTACACATTCATTTGTGTTTGAATCGCTATTTTTTTTAAATAAGTGGTACTCATTAGCATCTGAATCCATAATAGCCTTCGTTCCCCTATTTGCAAGGAAAAACAATGTTGTCACCATTAGGCTATTTCAATAAAAAAGTTTTACGGATATCTTGAAATTCGTTTTTGGTTTTTATGGCATTTTAACAATTATATTCAAAAATTTTATTGAGCTTGAGGCCCTTTCTAATGAAAAAATGTTGTGGAAAAACAACAAGAATTTACCTTTAGGTAGAAGTTATAGCTACTATTTCGGAGATCACCACATTTCCTCATTGGACTTCTTCACCGCGGCCACTGAGATATGAACCATTAGAAACGGCCTCAAGCTCAATAAAAATTGTTAAAATCTTAAATACTTTTTACCATCACTATATTAAACTAAATGATTGCAAATTTTTATGCATATTTCCCTCGGACAGGGGGGGTTAAACGCCCAAAAACCCCTCCCCCCTTGCGACCGGGCCTAATACATGCATAAATGTGTGTAAAACAGCAGCATCATAAAATCATCATAATCTTTAAAATCCATCATGGAAAACACGTCGTAGAAGACTTCTAAAATTACACCGTTTTTCGTTTTCAATTTCAGTTGATCCGGAAAATCAGGAAGAAAGCGTTGGTGAAATATCAGTACAAATTGATCTTTTCTCGCATCCCGGAACCGGCGAACATAAAGTTAACATTAAAGGTAAATAGCGCCTATATTTGTGGTACCTAAAATTACTAAAATTCATATTGCTCAGTGGTAAATCTTAAAAACCAGGGCGGTTACTATGTAATTCGATTCGAAAGAATTTTCGTCCGAACGCGGATTTTCCATACTACCTATTTCGAAATCGAATGGTAATATTCCATTTTCCGATTTCCATATGCGGTTTACCAATATGCGCCCTTACGTAATCCGAATTTAATTGCCAAAATTATTCGAAAATCCAAAAAGTGATTCGAAGGCGTTGGAGCTAACGGATAACTTGTACTGTTTACTTAATTGCTGCAAGAGTGTCATAATCCAAAAAATGTAAAAATGGAGAAAAACGGCTTTACAGTTTACCGTCTGCATGCGCTCCTATAGTAAAAATTAAGACACATTTTCTTCAAACGAGCTATTGTTAATCGATACAGCTATGGAATTTTTATACAACATGGAAGAAGAGGTGGCGGTAATTTCTGCATCCCACGTAACTAAAAAAAAATCTATTTGGATTATGATGCTTTTGCAGCAAATGAGCGATATTCATCTGTTAGTTCCTCGATACTACTTCAGTGCCTCTAAATGTCTCCGAAACAAATATGTACGTGTATATTGTTTCTTTCTTTTATATGGCTGTCTACTATGATCCGCATGACCTTGTAGCGCGAGCTCAGCAAGTCCCAAGCCTCACTGTAGTTGCTGTCACTCACTCCTAAATTGCTTACCAACTCCGGTGCTTCGCCTTTTAAACAATTGCGGGGATACTGTAGCTTCTGTCCGTCCATCAGACTTGCATTGGCATTGACGAGATAACAAAAGGCGTCATGAAAGGCGAGCCATTCGGCGGGATCGCCACTAAATGACGGTAGCTGCAGCTTCGAAAGCGGCACAGGCGCTGGCGTAGTTTGAGTGGCTTGAGGTATAGGTATCTTGAGCGGAGCCGCAAGGCGTTTGAAATTCGCCTTGGCGATAGTATACTACTCCTCACCGTGATTTCGAGATTGCTCCTCCATCTCGACGCTTTCTTCGCCGCACGGGAGCTCTACCTCTTGTTGGGCTTCACAAAATCGTACCCATTGTTCCTCCAACAACTGCAAGTACGTAGATACAACCTCTACGTCGATCGAAAGCTCTTCAAATTTGTTCGTTTTCAAAAAGCGTTTTATGGCTATTAAAGCGGAATCGCAAACTTTAAGCGACGACATTTTGCGGGTGCGGTAATATTTTATTATATTGAAATAACGCGGTATGGACTGTATATAACGAAAGTATCGCGGAATCCGGTTTGAAGTACAACTTTGTGGCGTTTAAATAGCGTTTGCGGGTTTATAAGCGGGGAAACTAAGTGGATTACCTCGGATTAAAATGAAACGCGTCCAATTTGCTTAAATCCATTTAAAAGAAGGGAAGTAGAAAGGATGTCAAGTTTGACAGCTTACAAACAGTGCTGCCAAACCAAACATACGCTTAAGGTCTAATTGCAAGTAACGAATTAGGCGTGAACGGTAGCACTTGTTGGCAAGGGTGATTCTCGGTTGGATTTCAAGGCTGACATTATTATTGATGTTAATGCTGGTTCTCAAATAAACGAAGTTGTCTACTTTTTCAAACTTGTAACTGTCAACAGTGACGTATGCTCTGACTGTTTGTGTGATCACAGGAGATACTTCGTTTTGTCCTCTAATCCCGAGAAGGCAGAACAGATGTAGCCCTTGTTTTTGCCGATAATTTCGATTTCGTCGGCTTACTCCAGCAATTATACGCTCTTATAAAGTACTGTCCCTGAGCGGTTCAATTCTGCGGCTCTTGTTGTCTCCTCCAACAACAGATTAAAGAAATCACATGAAAGGGAGTCGCCTTGTCTGATATCTCGTTTGGTATCAAACGGCTCGGAGAGGTTCCCCCGTATTCTGGCAGATCTAATAGTATTGCCCAACGTCATTGTACACAACCGTTGTAGTGTCGGGGGGTTACCAAACTCAGACATCGCGGCATAAAGACAACTTATTTTCATGCTGTCGAAAGCGGCATTAAAATCGACAAATAGGTGGTGCGTGTCGATCGTATTCTCGCGGGTCTTTTCGAAGATTTGGCGTATTGTGAATACCTGATCTATGGTGGATTTGCCAGGTCTAAAGCCACACTGATAAGGTCCACTCAGTTCGTTGATGGCGGCCTTCACTCTTTCACACAATACACTCGATAAGACCTTGCTTAGAAGGTTGATCACGCGGTAGTTGGCGCGTATGGCGGGATCGCCTTTCTTGTGGATTGGGCAGAGCCCACTTAAATTCCAGTCGTCGGGCATGCGCTCATCTGACCATATTCTGTATAAGAGCTGATGCATGCACTTTATCAACTCCCCGCCGCCGAACTTGAATAGCTCGGACGGTTGGCCGTCGCCTCCAGCAGCTTTGTTGTTTTTCAGCCGCGTAATCGCTATTCGTACCTCGTCATAGTCAGGCGGTGGGACATCGCCTTCACCGTCATCTACTGGGGGTTCGGGTTCGTCTTCTCCACTACTTTCAGTGCTGCTGCCATTCAACAGCATACGCCGGTTTGTTGAAGAGTGCTCTCAGGAGCCGATTGGCCAATAAATTGACCGTCTGTTGTGATTGCAGCTTTTCCGATGTGAAGCTTTCCTTGCATTGTTGGGCGCACATTTTTTGCTTCACAGAGGCGGGTGCGTATCATGGCTGCACCAAGGTAGTGGTCCGAGTCGATGTTTGGCCCTCGGAGTGAACGTACGTCTAAAATACTGGGAGCATGCCTTTCACCTATCACAAAATGGTCGACTTGATTTCTTATTTTTCGATCTGGAGACAGCCATGTAGCTTGGTGGATCTTGTTATGCTACACTAGCTAGTACTATATATTACCATGTTTTGGGCCCCGGCGAAGTCGATCAGCCTCAATCCCTTATCGGACGTTTCGTCGTGGAGGCTGGAGTTTCAGACAGTGGCGCCAAAGATCCCTTCCTTGCCCACCTTGGCACTGAAATCGCCAAGCACGATTTTTAGAAGAGATCCTTTGACGGCTCTTCCTTCTCTTCCGTCGGAGCATGAGCGAAATGTATAAAAATCTCGCTTTGATGCAGATTGGTGCTACACGTTCGTCCACTGAGGTGAACGCCAGTACTCGCCGACGGATTCTCTATTCTTTACGTGGCAACTATAGGAGACGTCGCAAAACTCCACGCTTACCTTGCTTTGCCCCGTCCCTCAGTGCTGTGTCTCCATATAAAAAGTGGGCAAAAATAGAATAATGGACGGATTTGAGTAAAAATTCGTTTCTTGGTGGATTAGAGTACGGAGATTTCAAAAAATTTTTTTCCCTAGCTCTTACATTTTTCATGGAAACTGAGATTGAAACTGCAAAATTTGATATTCAGAAGTAGTTCCAATACTGAGTAGTTATTTTATTATTTATACAGGGCGTTTTCCTAATAATATTACAGACTTCAAGGCTTCATTCTATGGCTTAATTCATGGCAAATAAGATTCCCTATATCTCTCTTACGCAAACCCTCTAGGAATGGCAGCTACTTTCATTTTGGTCCTTTTTGACCACAAAATGTTTTTTTAAATTGATTATATCTTTTGGTGTGGATGTCACAAGCTTAAAAAATTTGATTCATTCAAGACGACATTAAATACTCAAAAGACAAATATAATTTTGTTTTCCTTTTTATTAGTTACTTCGCACGAACAAGAGTTGTTGCAAAATACTGAATCAAAAATTATTTGTTTTATCTAACGCCGTTTATTGAAAAATTAAAGTCATCATGCAGTCATATTCCAAACTACTCAGCAAACACACTAGTTCATTGACTATATATTTTGTGGTGTATTCATACATGAATTGTGGTGTATTCATACATGAATTCATTCATGAATTTCGGGTTGAAATCATACTAGTCAGAAAAAGTGTAATCTATACTAGAAATCATACTAATCAGAAAAATCCCATCCCATAGTATAGTATAGTAGTATATTCAACAAATGCTCTACCCTTCGATTTTTTGTTCTCCGTGAAGCTTCGCAAAATTCTTCTTTAGAAGGTCTTCCCCGTTCAACACATTTATCCTTATTTCCATTGGAATCCGGAAGGGAAAGGAATGTCCAATTTAGCCATTTAGAATATGTTTTTTCAAAAGCGCTTCTTTTGCGGCCACTATAATTCCAATTATTTTTCATCTCACTATTAAAAAGTTTTATTTTTTGATTCAAAAAGCTTTGTCGCATTTAGCGTGTATTAATTTGTCTTCAAAAAATGCAGATAATGCAGACACTCTATCTGATGGACGAGTAGAAATCCAGATATCAGCTAAAATTGCGTTTTTTATAATTGAATTCATATTAATATTAGTTTTTTCACTATTTTACGCTTCACTACACAGCACAGAACACTACCGCGTGTGTCTACAGTAATAAACTTTACTATTTTTAAAGAATGTTTTGGCATTTAAGTAATGGAAAATACTGTGGTAACTGTAATCAGTGAAATTTTTATTTTGCAAAAGTTTATTTTATAACCTTAAAAAAAACGATTTTCTTCGAAAAGCGCAATGAGTCTGCAGACTTTTTTTTATTTCTAAGAAAAATGCCCCTTCTTTCAAATAAAAGAATAAAAAAACATACTTTCACATATTTTTTTTATCCCTTTGTAAACTTAGAAATTTTTTAAATTTTCTGCAACAAATTTTAGGGTGTAGCAAATAGGCCATTCCAGCCAGGAAACTCTATATTTTTTAAAAAGCTCTATAGAGTGGTTTCCTTACAGATTTTCTAATTAGAAAAATTGTGTCTTAAGATAAAGTATGATAAATTGTATTTTTAGCTATTTTTTTTTTAAAGACTCCAGCTAAAGGCATTTTCATAAAAGAAAAAATATATAAAAAACACACAACTTTAAGAGGTTTTTGTGAGAACCTTATGAGATAAAAACAAAAACTAAGTCCAGATCCTTAATCTAGGATAAATTTCCTTTCCAACGAT